GTTAATGTAATGACAGTAAATTTTTATTTAAATAAAGTCTCGCATTTAATGCCCATTCGCGATAAAAAAAAAAAAAAGAAATATTATTTTTTATTAACAAAAAATTATAATATGTAATAATTCTTAATATCAATTATATATTGATTTTTATTTAAATCAATAATAACTAACAAAGATAATTATAACTTTTATATATTTAATCTATTATGTATTAATACAGTATATTAAATTTAATTTATAATTCATTAATTTTATATCAATTATAATTGTCACATATAGATTATTTTGCATTTAAATTAAAGTAATATGTTTTAAAACTTAATAAAAATAACTAAATTGTTTAAAATGTATTGATGGTTAAGTTTTTGCTTGAATAGAAATTTTTTGTATAAACAAATAGTAAAAATATTTGTATTACTTTAATCGTTTTATACATCTTAAATAAAAAATATTTATTTTTCTTATATTATCAAAAATTATCGTTATTATTAATACGTATTAATTACTCTGATGTAATTTTTTCTTATCGTTCTTTTTGACGTATTTTATTGTAAATATATTTCTTTATTCTATATCATGCATTTATGCCTATTATTTATAAATTACTTTTGTTCCCATATGCTATATTTTTGCTTAACAAAACACATAAGAGAACCAAGTTATTAAACTATTAATTTTTATATAAATGTAACATTTTCTTTGCTGTATATAAAAAAAGAAATTAAGTTAAATTACTTTGTTTGAGAGTAACTATTTTTTATTTAGTAATATGTTTATATCATTTATACGCAATATGAATAAATAAAGTTATGTTTAAATCCCAAAGTTTGACCAAAACCTGACCTTCCGTTAAATATTTGAGCCAGATATTTCTGGCGTCATTTGCGTTCTAATCAGTTTCTACCTCGTATAAATCAAAATTAAACATTTTTGATCCACCAAGATCATTTTTTACGAATCCATAATTTCCACACGTCTTTGAAATATTACTTTTCGGTGAATTTAATAATCTTGCAACCTTTAAACTCTCGGCTTATGCTGTAAGTACATCTGAAACCTGAAGTGCGATCAAGCCAGCATCACGCAAGAAGTCTTTGATCGAATCTTTCGCTTGTTCTTCAAAATCATTCTTGAAGACTCGAACTTAGATGGAAGAATGATCTCATAATTCTGAAATAACCAATGGGCCTGTTAAATCTCTTTATCTTCCCAAAGCAAGATCTTTGTCACCTTGCAAGTTGTCATATTTCCTATATAATTTAAATAATTATTAAGATAACCATTACTCCTTAGCATCATAACCGATCATAAACGTGCGAACATCTGGATTGAACGAGATTACGTTTTCCCAAACATCATCTTGGAAACAAAAAAAATCATACAAGTAAAAATGTCTCAGATGATTCATTGTCATGTTAATTTTATTATTGATATCTGGTAATCATTCTGAGGTAATAGTATTTTTTTGAAACGCGTATTTCCCTCTGTTCCTATTCCAATCCCTAGCATGAATCGAGATGATTTGTGTTCGATCCTTCTTTTATCGATACTTCATTCGAAAGTTGTTTCCATGCGACTTCTTGTTTGTTTTATATGCAACTATCAATTGTTAAATCATATAAAAACGTACTTCCCTGGGGGTCTCCTTTATCCAGAGGAATTCTTCAGTTCTGAAGCACTTATCGTTTAGGTAGTGTTTTCGTATGATGTTCATATCGGTGATTCCATCATCTTGCACCATTTTAAGAGCCTTGTCGTATATACATCATCTTACAGTTGCCGTCCACTTTCTTGGCTTTTCTCTCTTTTCAGTGATTTGGATAAAATTTGCCATTTCGTGTTTCAGCCTTTCTTGATCCTTTTTAGTTTTCATTTGATCAGAATCCATTGTGTCTTGCCGTGAAGATAGTAACGATCGATAATAGGTTCTCAGTAAGCTCACCAAATTCAGTGTTATCAACGTTGGTGTCCGAATCAAGCATCACGATTTTCTATTCGAAAATCATGTACGCAAATTCGCAAAGTTGATCTTCCTGGTAACCACAACCTTCTCGATATCTCCTCGGTACAATTGTTTCGAAATGGATGTGAAGCACCCGCGTTTCCAGTTGAGATCTGATCCAATGTTTCTGATGAGTTCGTGGTCTGGATATTACTGCCTGAGGTACTCGAATTACCTGTCAAGGTCCTCTTTCTGTTTCTCCGAGCTAACCCTTGCATAATGGATCTTTTTCTTGTTGATATTTAATTACAATCAGTGAAATAAACAGCAAAATAATAGTTGTAATTATTAATATTATTGTTTACATACCGTCTCATTTTCATTATTCCATCTGCTAAAAATTTTGGATGAACTATAACACTCACAAACATTCACCATCGAATGTTATCAAAATGAGTAATATCATTTTCTAAAAAATAAAATACACATTTTGTATATACTAGCTTCAATATACTTATTGTTTTATTGGATACGTGTTCACAGATATGATACAATAAATTATAATGTATGAAATAATGTATGAGAATAGTATAGGTGAATGAAGTCGATAAATAAGGCCCTCGGAAAAAATGTTCCTCGCTCAAATTGATGAAAATAATATCAAAATATTCACAATAGTTAAAATTTAATTTTGCGATATATGAAAAGAAAAGAAAAATGTGAATCATTCATCAGAAACTTCTATATTCTTCTTTTTAGAAACCAAAAATACTTCATATTCATCAATCGAGAACCAATCATCTGATTCTCGAATTGGTACTTCGTACCACTTCGTATATGGCTTCGCGCTGCATCTTGAATCTTTAGTAAAATCCGAACAATTTGTTTTCATACCCAGATTACCATTACCAAACCACGGACCGTAACCACCCTCTTTGTGTTGTGGGTAATACCAAAGTGCCATGTCATTATTCTTAACGCGACTTAAAATGGAATTCGGAACATTGCCATTCCTTAATGAAAAGATAAAAGAGTTGGATGTTAATACTTTTCTATTCGTTGATTCTTTATCCCACGCGATGGGATTGTATCCACCCAGAATTTCATCGGTGTCTTTGACTTTCATGACCACTACCGTTCCGGCATATTCATTGCACATCTCCCAGAAAGTATTTGGATCAAAACCATCTCGGCTACCGCGTATGAGCAACTTAAATTCATATGGGTTTCTTGAAGACTCATAGAGATTTTCTTTTCGATCAATCCAGGAAGATATCTCGAGTACATGATCCTCAGTAATTACAGTTGAAAAGAATGGCTCCGTTCTACTTTCAACTGATTGCATTTCAGATTCTACTTGTGATGGTTGTATGGAAGCACTTTCATTAGTTGTTTCTAAGAAAGATTCCCCTTCTGGAGTAAGCGACTGTTCTTCTGAAAGTTTCCCTTTCGCGAGTAATCTTGTTATCCCCTCACGGAATGCCGACTTTCCTTTTTTAAATACCTCTTCATCTGAAAAATTCTCTTCGTCCTCTTCATCCAATGACAATTGCTCTTCGTCGGGTTCTATTTTTGTAACCAATTGAGGTGTTGGTGATCTTGAATTAGGTGGTGAAGAAGATTGCGACGCATATGGTTGCGACTTATAAGATTGAAGCGACTCGTATGGATGAGTCGAAGGCGAACGTGATGATGGCTGCGACGTATATAATTTGTTTGATGTTTGAGCGGAAAATGATTGAGACGCATTCGAAGCGTGTGATTGGGAAGCATATTGCGTAAATGGTTGAGATAAAGATTGTGATGCATATGGTTGAGAAAATTGAGACGTATAGGATTGCTGTGTATTTAGTTGAGAGGTCGAGTATGATTCATCCGGTTCAGGAAATTGAGACGTATACGATTGCGGATCGTGTTGTTTGGACGAAGATGGTTGAGGTGTTTGAGACTTTGCTTTCTTTCTTGGAGGTAAAATTACGGTTTTAACAGGTCTTTCAGGATCTGCCAAGCGTACAGCCAAATCCCTCCAAACGGTTCTCTCGATAATTCTTTTATAGGGCAATAACCTATCAAACACATCATCAACTGAGAATTGAAAGTAGCGAATGTGAGGCAAACATTGTACTAAAGTTGATTTCAAAGCCTTGAAGTCTCTCGGGTTCCAATTCTCAAGATTTTCTGGCAAATTATGAGTGTGAGCAGAGCCCCATTGGATCACCTTATCCCAGATTTGGGCTTCTTCCAATTGTAAATCATCTCGTTTAAGAAGAGACACTAATGAAGATTCACGAAGATAATTGAAATCCTCAGATTCGAAAATAAGATCAGGGTATCTTATGATGAAAGTGTTACAAAATTTCTTTAATTTTCTGAGATTAAGTTGATTATAGACACCATTACAAACGATGGGAAAATGACGGCGTAACCAATCTATCTTGTTATCAAGAAGGTATGTCTCCAAAAAAGATGCCATTTCCTCAAACTCAAATTCACTGGATTTGATTGTTAAATCAAATAGAGTAGAAGTTTCAATGTCGTCAAATTTGACGAATCCACCATAAATATACCTATGAAAGTATAAATGCTTGTTTTTTTATAAACTCGTATCACTTCGTATCAAAAGGCATATAATTTGAAAATTACCTTAATATGATGATAAAAATTCTTGGGGAAACATTATCCTTTACAATCCTCTTAACTCCTCTGTTCTTATCAACATTCATTAATTCTCTACGAAAGTACGAAGATCTGAAACGTAAGACAGCAGAATGAGCCCTGAAAGTTTGCCTATGGTGACCTTCGCCTACATCTATCATTACATTACATTCTTCCTTATCATTAAGGAGTTCCGTGAAATCTTTGGACAGGTGGTCAAAAAATGTCGCAGTCATTTTTTTTTTCCTGAAAAACAAAGCACGGATCCAGAGAAAATGAGTTGTTCCGTTGTGATACAGGATGTTGTTGTGCACGTAAATGGAAAATACGTACCGTAATACTGTAAGTAGCTAGTCACATGAAAAAATGACTTGGATACGTAATACTGTAACGATTTTGCTATTAAAATTTAAAGGCGAAAGCTTATGTAAAAGAATGAAAATTTTTTATAATTTCTTCCTCTTTCAATATACTACAAAATAAACGACAGTAGTTGATTTCAAGCCCTACTATTTTTATTTATATGCTATTCAAAAAAGAACGCGTAAACTAAATTAAAAGTATAAAAACGACTTCTGTTAGAAATCAATTGCTCAAGTGTAATGATTCGATATATATGATATACTATCCCAGATGCTTTTTGTCTAGGGTCAAAGGAATGCACATAAGCAGATGCCAAGCTGTCAAACACGTAAATACAGTCGCCCACCTCAGTAAAAGTAATCCGATCGAACTTGCTTCCATTAAAAAAAAAGAACGAATGCTTCGATTATGTTTGGGAAAGTCACAATAAATTTTAGAAAATATAAAGGTGTTTTTTAAAAAAAAAAAAAGAAAGAAAGACAGAAACGATTTTATTACCATAAAATCAATTGGAAAAAAGTTGCACTTATTTATAATTTCATTGAAATGCAACATCTATTGTCTTAAACAAATTAACAAAAAATCAATTGCTTTAATTGTTAATATTGTTAATATTGTAATTTGAAATCAGTTTATCAAAATTATTTGATATCATGAAATTCATCAACCCATGATATTATTTAAAATAAATGTAATTAATTTTGGTGTTTCTTATTAAATAAAAAATATATTGTAAAAAAAATATTTCACTTAGATATTTAAATTATGATTAACTTGTAATCATAAAAAATTTTTTATTTAAATAAATAATAAAATAATAATAATTAAATCCATTATATTATAATTGAAATACTATAAATTTAATTAATTAATTAAACAAGTGTTATAAAAATAAATTATACATAATATATAATATATTTACAAATTATGTGTTTTTATTTTAATTTTAAAATATAAAAATTTATTAGATCTAAAATACGTATTTATAAAATTTAAAAAATTCAAAATTATATATTGCAATATGTTTTACATATTGTTTAAAAAAACAATTATATAAAAAAATAAAAAAGTAATTATATTTGATAATTAGTATTATAGTTTATAATATACTATATACTTTATCAAATATATATATATTTTTAAAAAAATAAACCAATTTGTCTTTAATCATATAATATAAATCAAATTAAAACAACTGACTTATTGTAATAATATTAAAAATTATAATATAAAATAAATTTATATACTATTGAATTAAAAAATAAAAAGTTTGTTTTTTATTAATTTCAATATACATAACTACAAATAAATAAAATATATATAATTGATTGGATCAAAATTTCTTTTATTAATAGATTTTTTTTTCAATATCAATTTTTTTTAATAATTAAATTATACAGTATATATTTTTTAATATTGTATTTTTTTTAAATGATATATATTTAAAAAAATAAATATTATTAATTAAAAAAAATTTTTTTATAATAATTAAATACAAATATTGTTTTTTTATTACTCAATCACAAATTTTTTATTATTTATTATATTTATTTAAAAATTAGAAAATATTTTAAAGTTTAAAAAAATAATAATAATAATTATTATTATTATTATTATTATTAATTCTTAATTAAATTAAAATTGTTTTTTTTTTTACTGTTAAGTGAGGCATTTCTCACGATCTTTATTAATAGAGTAAATTCGTTACATAATTAATATTAAGATGTTGAGATACATTGCTATACATGTCAGCCTACCACCATATTAGATA